GAACACAATTCCATAATCTTTAAGTACAAAACAAACAATTCATGCAAGGGATTTAGAAAAATATTCAACTTGTTAAGCAAACTGTACACATTATATCCAGTACGGCATCTAAATGCACAAATTGATAAAAACAAAAATCTGCTATATTTATGTATATGTCTCTCCAAAAAAAAGGTTGAGGAAGCAGAGAGAGAAATATTTGCAAACATCTATAGTACCTTTTAACAGGAAGTCATCAATTTCTTTGGTATTAATTCCAAGAGACCAGCGAGTAGAAAGTTTGGTATCAATTATGATCTGCGTAATTCTGTTCTCATCTTTAGTGTCTTTTTCCACACTTATTGCAGGAATATCAGAGGCAACCCAGCCAGTTTGAGCACCCTTGTCCGTCCAACAGCTATAGTTGACAGAAAAAGTAACAAAATCTTGAAATCTATCCCGTCCACAAACAAATCCTTCCCCAATCTGGTCAGCTTCCTTAACCAAATTTCCGGGAGTTGATGAAAATAGAGAGATATATGAGACTGGTTTTTCATTGTATGTTTCTGCAGCATCCACAACATGCACAACCTAGGAAACACCAAAACCATTAAGAAAATAAACCACAGTGAAAAAGCTTCATGTAGTTTAATCGAAAAGTGGCACTATTATAGCCATAAAAGATTCTATAGAAAGATACCCAAAATTGAGTAATTAGTAAGAGAAGTTCAGAGGTTACTGCAGTAATTTAAGATGGATTATTCACTTAAAGTTTGTCTTTAACGATATTTTACTGTGGGAGATGGAATAAAGATCGCAAGTATGCTATTGATGAATGCACGATCAAGTCAAAATTCAACAATGACATATGTGAAGAGAAAAGGAGAAGCAAGCTACATGGATCAAATTCATGTTAACAACCGCTGGTTGCTTACATTTACAGCTCTAGCAGTATCTTCTCTAAATGGTGGCACAACACCCATCCAAGCTGCACCAAGTGAGATTGCAAACAGAATGCATGTACCAACAATAATTGGCAGTTTTGCATCTGGAGAAAAAATGAAACACGGATTTAGTCGGGCATTTAACTGTAAACCTTCAAATCACATGCTTGAACAAATTCATTGGACTGCTAGCTGACGCCAACAGGAACTGAAGGATAGAATAAATGTTGATTCAATTTATCGAGGTGAAATGTTAATTTCAAATCATATCTAGATCCCAGGCATTTACATATCGTTTAAAATGGTCAAGGCTTGATTAATACATTAGAAAGGTATCGCCTTCATTTGTCTGATTTCGAGTCTAGGCATAATCCACCAAAAAAGCACATTTATAATGCATGTCTTTTCTTTAGATTGGATCAATGCTTATGGTGCAAAGAAAGAAACCATCTCAGAAACCTAAACCCACGCCATCTGATTCTTGAATGATGAAAATATAAAATGGGCGACTAAGTATGGTCTAAGGAATGACCTCTTCCCCTTTGAAATTAGCCATAATAAGATAGATATTAACCTTCTGTTTTGTTAAAAGTAGGTCAATGTTAACGGTTGGACAGACAGCACCTTAGGCGCATTCTTACTTCTAGGCCAGCCCAAGCTTTTTACACTCAACTCGAGTTGACATGATGCAGATTAATTATACTCTGGACCATTTTTAGAGGATATTTTGCATATTTGAAATAAAGACAGCTCAGTATTTGGTTCAATTTGAGTCGGTACTTCTAAAAGTAGGTTGCTACGCCAGTTTTGACAATTTATGCCACCAAAAGCTGAAAATCATCCTCTGTTTCATAAGCTCTCAATCATGAGTTTTATATATAAAATAAAACAAGGAATGAAGTGGTTACAGCTCATATAGACAGTAGATCGAAATGATAATATTAACAGCATGTTTGGCTAAGCTTGAAAAAAAGTTAAAAGCTACTTTTAAGTAGCCTTTTTTCCAAATATGCTAGGTAACTTACTTTTTTCTTATGTTCAAGTACAAATAGACACTTATTCCATAGTGAAAAAATATATATAACTTACTTAGCCCCCGTTTGGCCCCCTTTAAAACTCATCAATTTAATTTAAATTTGTCTCTCTCCTATCTTCAACCACACAATCTTCCATAAAATAATATTTCACGCAAATCGAAAATTTTTCATTCTTTTACAACCATCCATTTTTCAAAAAAATACTATTCCCCCCATTATAAATCCAAATAATGGGGGCCAAATGGGGGCTTATTTTCACCTTTAATTAAAAAATAATAATAATAAAATTAAACTTACTTATTTAAGCCTTGTTTGGTGGGGGATTAAAAATAGATTTTGATAGAAGTTTTTGAAACGTGTGGTTGAAAAGTTGTGAAACCCATAAAATATGTGGTTAATATTGATTGTTTGACTTTGACTTAAATTAAAATCCGATTTAAATCAATACCAAGCAAAGGGTTAATAATAAGTAAACTTCTTAAGCTAACTAATCATGCTCTAGACCATCAAGATAAGGATAGTAGATGCTTAAGGCTGAATGATGTGAGCATGCATAAAGATACACTGAGTTTGTGCCTCCAAGTAATTTCAAAGTAGATACTAACAAGACTAAACAAAATTTTTTTTATAATAATACATGGATTAGAAATTGAAAGATTTCTTGTGACATTGATATGTTGATATCCCCAAAGAAGAGCAAAACAAATTGCCAATAACATGTCAATGCCGCAGCAAACCTAAATTTAAAAAAAAAATATATATATATATATATTGTAATAATAAGTACCTGAGATGTGAACATACGACATTAGATACACCATTGTAAAACATATGATA